AGTTAAGTGTTTGAGGCCAGATTTGAACTCATGAAGAAGAGTCTTCCTGACCCCAGGCCTGGTGCTTTATTCACTGTACCACCTTGTGGCCCATTCCTACACTTTCCTCTCCTCCAAATACCATTATCTAGCTCTTCTGTCCTAGTTGCTATTCTACACACACAAAACTCCATCTTCTGACTCCAGGATTTTGTGCTGATTCTTTCTCATGCCAAGAATGCCCTTCTTCCTCATTACCACCTTGTAGCTCCCCTGGCTTTCTTCAAGATTCAGTTCAAATCCCTCCTTCTTTAAGAGCTCTTTTCCCATCCCCCACCCCAGCTGCTAGTGCCTTCCAATCACAATTTATATATTGTATATGTACAGTTATTGTCATGTTGTCTTCTTTCACTAGAATGTGAACTTGAGAACAAAGACTAAGGTTTTTTGTTTTGTTTTTGTTTTTTGTTTTTTGTATGTCTTTGTTCCTCTGGCATGTAGCAGAATAAATGCTTATGGTCCAACTGATTGATTGTTGCTTAGTTTCTCCTTTGCATTTGTCCTGAGCACTGGCCATTATCACTGTGCCCCTTAGCTACAGAACGTAGGACCCTAGAGTTGGTTGTTCAGAACTGATCCAATTCTAAATGATCCCTTCTAAGTCATTTCATGTCTCAGAGTATCAGTTTCCTTGTCTGTAAAATGAGGGGGTTGCAGAAGATGATGCCTTAGGTCCCTAACCATTCTATGATACTCTGAATCCCTATAGTATTTTGCTTCTGGCTTAAAACAGGTTTTTTTGGTTGTCCTATAGTTATTTGTGTGTCACCATGTAAAATGTTGCCATTTCTTATAATCTTGTATTTTATAGCTATTTGTGCTGGTATCTCTTTCACCTGCTAGGCTATAAGCTCCTTCTTATCTGTCAATGAGATGATATATTGAATGATGTACATAAATAATGTACGTAAAACTCCCTGCGGGGGTGTCTCATTCCTCCATTAGACTGTAACTTCTTTCTTATTGATCAGTGAGATAATAAGTCAAATGAGATAATGTATGTAAAACACTTCATAGTCTTTAAAGCATGATGTAAATGTAAGCTACTATTATCTAACCTTTGTGTTTCCTCCTTCCCATCAGCACCCAGCACAATGCTTTGCCTACAGCAGGCACTTAATAAAGATTTGTTGTATTATACAAGATTGTAATATTTTTGAATGTTAAGTCCATGTCTTATTTATCTTTGTATGTCTTGCAGCATTTAGCACTGTATCCTTATACATAGTAGATACTCAAAAATATCAAATGAATAAACAGATGAATGAATGAATGAATGAAATCTTTCATCTTTGCTTGTGGCAGCAGCAAGTCAGGGGGAGTATTCAACTTTGGTATTTATACAGACTGACTGTTGAATTCACAATAAAAATTCAAGTAGTGTTTCTGCTAGATATTGATATTCAGTTCTATAATAATATAGTAGAAGTGGATGAGCATAGCCATGGTATAACTACCTGATAAGGAGACACAGCAAAATCCATCAGGGAACACAGATATTCTGACTCCTGCTAGCTGCTTCCCTTTGCATGCCAACGAGCTGCTGAGCACTGGTGATACTGTCTGATATGGTATATTTCTTTCAGTGCTCTGAACAAGTCAGAGATAAAATTATATATCTCTCATTGTAAGTCTTACAGAAACTAAACTCTGGCTTTGAATAGAAGGGATGTATGACACTTAGACCACAGGTACAAGTTAGTTTTCCCTCTGAGAGGTAGTGTGGTGTAGTGGATAGCATAAGGGTCTTAAAGTCAGCAAGACATAGGTTCAAATCCAGCCTCAGACACTTATTAATCATGTGAACCTAAGCAAGTTACTTAACAGCTGTAAAATGAGGTATACTACTTCACAGAGTTTTTGTGATACTCAAGTGAGAATGTATGTAAAACCCTAATGTCCCACATAAATGTGGATTCTTCTTTTTCATATCCCCCCATATTTCTAACTCTATTGGATCTTTTTTTGGATGTCTTGCTATCACCTTAGACTTGACATATCCAGCATTGAACCCATCATCTTCTCTCCCAAAGCAGTTCCCATTCCTAATTGCTGTGCCTCATTCTGTAGAACCATTTGTTCAGTCTCTAGAATAGAAATTTTGGAATTATCTTTGAGTCTTCACTTTCCTTCATGTCATATACAAGATTTGCTCCCAAGTTCCAATCTTTCTTTTTTTCAAAAACCATTTCTTAAAAATAAAATAAAACTGCCTCTTGAATTTACTCTTTCTTTTCCATTCTTCTTGCCAACACTCTCCTTGCATTGGTCCTCATCTCCTTTTACCTAGATTATTGTAATAGTCTCCTACATGATCTATCTGACTCTATTCCCTCCTATCCATTCTACATTCCACTGCCCCCATAATCTTTTTAGAGGCTCAGAAAACATGATGTTGAATTAAATAAAATAAAACACATGTTGAATAAAGATTATTCTCTTGTCAAAGATCTTACTTCCTGCCACATCAATTCCAAACTACTCTCCCTCATTTTCTAGATCACACCCCAAATTTGTTGATCCAAATTTACCTTCCATTATTCCTCCCAAAACCCCTTCCTTTCTAGTCAGTCTCACTGATACCCACACATGTTGTGTTCATGCCTATCTCTGTGCCTTGGTTTATAGTATTCTCTTCAGTCTGGATGCTTCCCTACCTACCCAAATGAATGGATGACTGAGCAAGCATTTATTAAGTGTCTGTTATGTACCAGGTATTATACTGGGGATACAAAATAAAGGTGAGACAGCCCCTACCCATAAGGAGCTTATTGTTCTAACAGGAGGAGACAACAAGAGGGACTTTGGAGGTGGGAAGTCAGCAGTCATGATTGCAGCTAAAGGACCAAAGATTGTCATTGTCATACGTTTTCCAGTAGCAATAGCATTATTGATTTGATTATTCCTAGAGCAAAAGGTAGGAAGTGGGAGGGAGAAAGAAGCTATGCACGTGGAGCAACATGATGGCAAAATGTCCAGGGTCTATGTGAAGCATGGTTGAGAGGTAGATAGATAATAATAGTAATATTCATGTTAAAGACCTCTGTAACATCCTAACCACACAGTTCTTCAACCTCCTCAAACTCCAATGACATTTCTTTACTTCAACCACAAACTGACCTTTAGCCTCACTATGTATATAACTTCAATAAATATTTATTAAGTAACTTCAATGTATATGGCACTGGGCTCAATGCAGCACATACAAAGATTAAAAATGAGATGGCCTCTCCACTCAGGAAACTTATAACACTGGTAGGGATACGAAACATACACAGATAGGTATAACACAAGTAAAGTATATGAAAATAAAGGAAAGATATGTGTAAAATACTGTAGGAAAATCCAAGGAGACAACACTTTCATCTGGGGAAATCACGGAAGGCTTCATAGAAGTGGAATGGGAATTGATTTTTTGAAGACAAAGAAAGATTTTGCCAGGAGAAAATGAAAGCAAAGTTCATTCCAACCCTATGAGACAATTTGTAAACATGCGTGGAGTTAGGAGATGGCATAAAACTGTGGAGAATGGCTGGTAGTTCACTCTGATTGGAATGTAAAATTCATGAAGACAGCAATATGAAATGAAGCTGGGAAAGTCTGTTGTTGTACAGTTGTTTTTCAGTCATGTCTGATTCTTTGGTTGGGGATAAATGTAGTGTGTCTTAAATGCCAGGAGGAGGAATCTGTGTTTTATCCTATAGGGCCTATGGTTTGGGAAACAGGAAATCACTGCTGTTTTTGGAATAGCCTAGTGATATAGTTAGATCTGTATATTAAGAACATTGCTTTGACAGTTGTGAGAAGAAAAGGGGAGAAACTGCAGGCTTGGAGACCAATTAAGATGTTGTCACAAAATTTCAGTTGAAAAGTAGTAAGAGGCTGATTCAGGATACTGACAATTGGTGTTAAGTGAACAAAAACAGAATTATGTGAAGGATGTCGTGATAATAAAATTGACAGAAAATTAACATCTGATTGTTTTTAGCTGGGAAGGTTGAGGGGTCAGAATTCTAGATGACTGAGATTTCTAACCTATGTGACTGGGAGGATGAAGGTGCCATCAGTACACAAAAGGAAATTGTAAGGAAAGGCAGACTTAGAGGGACATAATATATTCAGCTTGAGATATTTTGAATTTGAGGTGCTTTTGAGGCATCTAGGTGGAAAAGTCCAAGAAGCAGTTGGAGATCTAAGACTAGAACTCAAGGAAGAGACTCATGGAACTGCACTCCATCCAAGATCAATTAGACTCTTTGACCACCATTGTCAATCCTTTCACCTTCCTCTCTCTCACCATTCCCATTCATGCTAAGCCTCCTCTTCCCTGTCATCATGATGTCTGGTCCTCTGGCCTTTTTTTAAATCTCCTAGTCCATCTCACCTACTCTCTTTATTTCCATAGTTAACCGCTACTTAAATGATTCTAGCTACATTATCTCAGCTGAACCCTCCATCTTTCCTGGCCTGCTAATCATCAAGCTTTGATGATCTCTGCCATTTGATTGCCCTGTTCCTTCTTGAAGAATGCTGAGAATAGCATGGAATCAAGATGATTTCATCCTCTATAAATTCATCAGGTATAACCTTGGCTATGGTTCTCTCCCTATGGTTCAACAATCCTTTGATTTCCAATTCAAGGAATATTTTAACTTGATTGAGTCATTATTTTATTTGCCTGTACATAGTAGGTACATAAATGAATTTTTGTTTACTTAAATGAATTATGTGTTATCATTACCTGAAAGTTAATCATCCATTTTTATTCTTTATGTAATAAGCAAAATATTAACCAATAACTTGTATTAGTTCCCCACCTTGTGTTATAGCATCAAGCTGAAATGCATCTGAACTTGGGTATAAAACAAACAAACAAAAAAAAACCCCAAGAATGTATTGAGCTATCAGTTAAATAATTGTGAGAATCATTGCTATTATGATGAGGCACCAATTCAACTTACCATCTTGCTGATTTCATTTTCTTTGTTCTCCTCCTTGTTTGGTACTCTCCCCAAATGTTCACAGGAACTACCCTCATTAAAGACATGTTTCTCCTCCATAAATCCAAGTGCCTTTTGTTTGTCGTGGGGGATTTCTTTTGTCTGAATGTCTTTAAAAAATGTCTTGAAGAGTGGCAGCTGTGGGAAAGCTTCATCATCCCCCTCCTCTACTTCCTCCACAGATTCATATGAAGAAGTTTCTGTATCAATGATTCCACATATGTGGAGGTCATTGTCAATGGCAGGGGTTAAACATTCATTGTTGGAAAAAGTGATTGTGCTGGGTTTTTGTTTAATGACATATATTTCAGGAACAATTTCTGGTTTACCATCAGATTGCTCATTTGGAAGATGTAATGAGGGACATATCTTGAGAGGGAAAAGATAATCTTCAGCTTTAGTTGAAGTAGGATATAGTGAATGCCTAAAGAAATTTTGATTTTTAGGCTCATTGGTAATACTCAGGTAGCCAGGCACTTGAATGCATGTTGAAGATGATTGATTTTGCTTTGGTATCTGTGGAATAGAGCAAAGTTCCTTTGGGTGAGATTTAGATCCCCAGGATATGATAGGCACCCCAAGGTGGCTATCTGATCCTCCATTTTTTGTATCTTTTGATGGCCCTGGATTCTTGGCAAACACAGAAAAAGAGGGTACCTGCTTCTCTTCATCAAACTTAGTTTCCATTCCAATTAATTTCATCCATTAGATTGTGGCACCTTGAACAGTCTTTATTCTTGGTTGACTTGGTAATTGTAGTTATCCATATTATGACCTATCACCATTACCAAATTCTGGATCTCCTTGCACAATAAAAAATGTTCTTTCTCTGAAATAAAAAAAACCACACATTTAGTTTATTTTAAGGTTATTATAGTTTTGAAAGTAGCATCATTAATATTTATAGTTCAAGAGGAATTGTAATAAAAATTAGAATAAGTTACAATGCCCAGATTTTCTGTATAATTTGAAGCAAGTAAAAGTTACTAATTATGTGATTCAAGAATTGGATTCTAGCTTTGTAATGTGGACATGGACCTTCTGACCTTGACGTTTTTCTACAAGGCTATGAACCTGACTTCATTTCTTACCAATAGTTTCTCTGCATCCAAAATCACCAAGAAGCCAACAAACCCTAATCTCAGTTCTCTTATCAAAATTCCATTCTATAAGTATTTAATAAACAGTCTGTTGTGTGTCTACTTTGTACCTTTTATAGACATGGACTACACAGCCAAGAAATGAGATGTGTCCTGACCTGTACTTTGGCTACAGTGGAGAGCAGCTTGTCCCAGCAAAACGATGACGATTCTTCAATCCAACAGTCAATCTGGAGCTATATTTTCTGTGTCGGAAAACTAGGATCACCCACAATTATACTTTAACATTAACCTGTATTGACAGTATGTTGTCTGCTGAGAACATAAAAAATGTTAGGACTTTTGGTGATATGGCTACATGAGTGTTCATGTCTAAGCTCACCTCCTTTTATCACTTCAAAATAGCAAGAAATGTGCTAAATAAAGGAACAACATCAAAAAGAAGGGAAAAGTTTAAAATAAAACTAATTAAAAGGAAAACCTTGCAGAAAAACCAGTGTATGCTTAAGAAATAAATGAGCACAAAAGAGACCCTAGTATAATAATAGCTAGCCCTTATATAGCACATGAAGGTTTGCAAAGTGCTTTACAGGTATTATCTTATTTTATCCTCATGACAATTTGGAAGGTAGGTGTGATTATTATCCCCATTTTACAATTGAGGAACTTGAGGTAGACAGGGGATAAATGAAGTGCCTAGGGTCACACAACTCATAGATGTCTGAGGTCAGATTTGAACTTGGGTCTTCTTGGTTCCAGACCCAGTGTTCTACCCACTGCACATCTAGCTACATTCTTTTTAATGAATAAATACTACAGGGAAAGGGAAAGAAAAGAGAAATATCGAGAGGAAAAGAAGTATATCATAACAACTTGACCTCCAGAAATCTGGGTAAAACAACTGTAAGCACCTCCAAAATGGATTAGACACCCCACAAAAGAAGTAAAGGAAGACATAAGGCTCGAAATTTAAATGGAGTTTAAAGCTCTTGAAGAGGAATTCAAAATGACTAAAAAGGATTGAAGGTTTGTTGTTGTTGAGTCATTTCAGTTGTGTCCTAATCTTCATGACCCTAGTTGGAGTTTTCTTGGCAAAGATACTAGAGTGGTTGGCCATTTCCTTCTCCAGCTCATTTTACAGATGAAGAAACTGAGGCAAACAGGGTTGAAGGACTTAACCAGGGTTACATAGCTAGTAAGTGTCTGAGGCTAGATTTGAACTCATGAAGATGAGTTTCCCTGATTCCAAGCACCATGTTGTATCCACTTGGGCCATCTGGCTGCCCCTACTGAAGGTTTAGAACAGCAGAAAATCCATGAAGTATTTTTAAGCAGTGGATTGCTGAAAAAGAGAATGGCAGAATCCAAACACAAAAATGCAGAGTTGAAACCAAAAAAAAGTGTGTGTGTGTGTGTGTGTGTGTGTGTGTGTGTGTGTATAAAATGAAATAAAAAGAGAGCTCAATTGGAAGAGAACTTGAAGTTTCTGCAAACTAAAGTAGAGGACCTTAAAGGCAAAGCTCAGTCAGACAATCTAAACATTACTAACCTCCTTGAAAAACCTAATGAAACAAAAATCCTGAATACCATATTTTGGGAAATTTACAAGAAAAGTTCCCAGATGCATTGGTGACAGAAGACTAAATACAGACTGGTAGAATCCATAAGACCTCGTCAAGGAACATCATAGTTTAATTCACTCAGAAATACCATTGGATTATAGAGCTAGTGATGGATGGAAACTCAGAGACCTAAAAGATCAGGAAAATAAGGACCGTGAAGGTTAAGTTACTTGCCCAAGGTCACATAGGTAGTAAGCATCAGAAAAAGGATGGAGTTTCCAAGTTCCAGAAATTCATTATTGAAGAAAAAAACTTGTAAGTAGTCAGGAGTAGACAATTCACATTAGAGAATAGTAATTTGAATCACAAAGGACTATTCATGCACAATTAGAAATGAAAGACAAGGCTGGAATGGAATATCCTAAAAAGCAAAAGAAATCACCTTGAACACCAACATAGCATAGCCCAAAAAGCTGAGCATGTTTTCCTCCATGAGAAACATAACATACATTTAAAGCATTCTTACTAAAAAAAAAAAAGATATATGTGGCTTCTTTGATGTGCAGACTCAGAGATATTACAAAAATAACCAAATTGGAATAACATGAAATTGGCACATGAGAAATTAATATTTACAGGCTACAAGGAGAATACAAGGCTATTATTTTGAACCATACTATTATCTGGGCTGGTCAGAAGAGAATTATGAAAAAGAGAATAACAGTAGAAGTATAATCAAGGGATCTGCCTATGGGCCATGTGGTGTGTATTAGAGAGAAGGAGAAAGGAGAGATAGGAAGAGTGGATTGTTTCAAGCATCTAGCTACCTAGTTCTGATATATTTTTTAAAGGAAATAGCCAGGGATCTGGGATGGGCAGAGTGGAGAGTGATATATCTAAATCAAGATGGAAAATGGGGTGATATTCTTTCAAGCAAAGTAAGCTATAAGTATCTTATATTGCCTTTCCATTTAAAAAAGTAATATAGTGGGATTTTACTAGGGGAAAACAAACTTAGCAATTATAGCCTTTAATGTTAATGGGTTCAAGTTGACTACAAAATGAGAGCAAATTCCAAAACAGACAAAAAATAGAACTCAAAAATTTGTTGCATATAGGCATCATGCTTAAAAAAATTAAGAAAAGAAAAACAATTAAATGGAGGGGCTGAAATTCAATTTATTATATGTGAGATGAATGCCAAAAAAGCAAGAATTGCAATCATGATTTTGGATAAGACAACATTAAAATATTTACAAATAGGGGCAGTACATTATGAGTAAAGGCCCTATAGAGAATATAATAATATTGGTATCAAATCTTTATGCACCAAATATTGTAGCATCTAAATATTCATAGGAAAAGTTAAATGAAATGCAAAAAGATAGTAAAATAATAATTGTTGCTTTATTTCTCCAGAACTTAAATTTAGCAGAAGAAAAACTAAGTGTGATGTTTTATTGAAATTTTCCAATGGAAATCTTAAAGAGGAATCTCAAAGAGTACACTTTTATCATACAGTACCTATACAAATATTGATTATGTTCTGCAGCAAAAATAAATAAATAAATAAATAATGAAGGAGGGTGGAATTTTAAGACCATACTTATTTTTTGTTTCGTCTCACAGATCTGTGATTTCTGGTCATCTTCTTAGCTAGTTATTAATTTTCTGTATACTACTTTCTCTATACTTTTATCTAGAAGAACAGAAAAACAAATACCAACTGTTCCCTTAAGTCCTTCAGTTTCTTGCTTCATAATCCCTAGAGATTCTTTGTAGTTTTTTTTTCTTGGTGGTATTTTTGCTCCTAGGTGAATCACCAACTGAAGTTTCAGAAGCTTGACAGGTATCAGGATTATTTCCTTCTCAAATCTTAATACATACCTCAGGAAGATAGCACATTCTCCAATTTTATATATTAAAGTGATATATGTCAGACTGTGTACCTCTCATCAAGTAGTCATAGCACCAGGACACATCTCTTTACTTGGTACCATTGCACCTTATCTTTCAGTCCTTGGCACATAGTAAAGTACTTAATAGATATTGTTAATAGTTGTTGACTTGACTTATTCAATATTATGTGCCAGGTACTGTTCTAGATGATGGAGAGAGGAAAGTAAAAAACAAATAGTCCCTGCCTTCAAGGAGTTTCCATTCTATGGTGGTTGGTGAGAAGAGACAACACGTTCGTAGATAAATACATGCAAAGCATTTTCCAAAAGGTGAGTGAACACTAATAACCTAGGGCAGCAGGGAGGGCCTCTTGTATGAGATGGTGCTTGAGGTGAGATTTAAAGGGAGCTAGGGACTCCAGGAAGCAAAGGTAAGAAAATTCTTCCCTTTTTTACTCTTCATTCATTCATTCAACAATCATTTATTAATTATCCAATATTTATTGGTACCATGTCATGTGCTAGGGATTCAGAGACGAAAAATGAAATAATCTCTGCATGAACACATATTAGCAAATACAAAATATAAATGCAGAGTAAATGTGAGTAATTTCAGAAGGCACTAGCACCTGGGGGATCAGGAAAGACCTCATTTGGGAAGTGGTACTTTTATAGAGCTTTGAAGGAAGCTAGGGATTCTAAGATGTGGGGGTGAGGAGGGATTGCTTTCCAGGCCTGTAAAAAGCCTATACAAAGGCACGCAATTGGGAAATGGAATTTTATATGCAAGGAACAACAAATAGGACATTTTTTTCTTCCCTTTCAAGGTCTTGATCCTCATAAATCTGATTTAGTGTTGTGTTTTGTTTTTTAGGTTTTTTTTCTTATTTTCTTTCAAGGTCTTTTCTTTTATCCTCCAGGGTACACTTCATCATCCTTGATATGCTGGAGAATAGAAAGGTGTTCCTTCACCCTATATATCGTCTCTTCTAGCAGGAAAAACAAGTTATACTTAGTGTACACATGCCTGGTTGCCTGTGGTAGACACTCAAATGTGGTCCAAACTCTGTTCATTAGAGCAGTTCCTCCATCTTCCACACTTGCTGAAATGGAAGTCTTCTGTTGCTGGTGCCTGTCCCTAGTTACCCCTGCTACCAATGGCAGCAGCAGACTGCTTGTTTGCTCAGCCTCTCTATGTCCTTGCAGGCCTGACTCTTCTGCCTTCTGTGTCTGTTAAGACCCTTATTTAGTATCCTGCTGTGCAGTAAC